CTTTTCTGAATGGAGATTTAGAGGAGGATGTTTATATGAATCAACCAGTGGGGTTTATTGAAGAAGGAAAGGAACATATGGTGTGTAAACTTAAGAAATCAATATATGGACTTAAACAAGCTTCTCGACAATGGTATCTTAAGTTCAATGATACTATTTTGTCCTTTGGATTTAAGGAAAACACTCGTTGATCGGTGTATATATCCGAAGGTCAGTGGGAGTAAGTTTATATTTCGATTACGTATGTTGATGATATCTTGCTTGCGACTAATGATCTTGGTCTATTAAGTGAGACTAAGAAGTTTCTCTCTAACAACTTTGAAATGAAAGATATGGGTGAGACATACTATGTGATAGGAATAGAAATATTCCGTGATAGATCACAAGGACTGTTAGGTTTGTCTCAAAAAGCATATATTAATAAAGTTTTAGAGAGATTCAGAATGGAGAAGTGTTCAGCATCTCCCGTTCCAATACAGAAAGGAGACAGATTTAGTCTTATGCAATGTCCAAAGAATGACTTGGAACGGAAACAGATGGAAAATATCCCTTATGCATCTGTTGTTGGGAGTTTGATGTATGCTCAAACATGTACGAGGCCGGATATTAGCTTTGCGGTTGGTATGCTTGGTAGATACCGGAGTAATCCTGGACTCGGATCATTGGAAGGCTGCAAAGAAAGTTTTAAGATACTTACAAGGAACAAAGAATCACATGCTTACTTATAGGAAAGTTGATCACCTTGAGGTGATTGGATATATAGATTCGATTTTCGTTGGTTGTATGGATACACGAAAGTCTACATTTGGTTATGTGTATCTTTTAGCCGGAGGAGCGATTTCATGGAAAAGTGCGAAGCAGTCTGTCATTGCTGCATCCACCATGGAAGCTGAATTTGTGGCATGCTTTGAGGCCACAGTTCAAGCTAATTGGTTGCGGAATTTTATTTCAGGACTTGGAGTAGTCGACAGCATTGCCAAGCCGCTGAAAATTTATTGTGACAATTCCGCAGCAGTCTTCTTTTCTAAGAACGACAAGTATTCCAAAGGTGCTAAGCATATGGAATTGAAATACTTTGACGTTAAAGAAGAAGTTCGAAACAAAGAGTGTCAATAGAACATATTAGCACTGATCTTATGATTGCTGATCCTTTAACAAAGGGATTACTGCCCAAGTTGTTTGTCTGGCCATATAGTAAATATGGGCATTATGTTTACTAGTAGTGAAAGTTGAATGTTAATGTTATTATTAATGTTATGTGACACTCTGAGATCTTTAACGTATAAGTTTCTGAAATTTGTGTTTTCTTCTTTATTTATATGCATGCAAATTATGATGAAGAAAACAAATTATGTTATTATTTTAAAATGATATTATGTTTGAACCCATTATGGACTTCTCATTATAAAGTCATATTAAGGAGAAAGAGATAATATAGTGGTACATGGAAGGGAGCCTGTCGATTGAATGACATGTAACCGTCATGACTCTTGTTATAGCTGTATCTTTAATTATGAATAAGGATAGAACCAATTTATGTAAGATCATTTAATGCGCATTATGACTTAAGTATTAAATCACAGAATTTTGTGATATCACATGAGTCAAGTGGGAGAATGTTAGAATTAATTTAATTAATTCATTCCATTATGTGACTCATGTGAAATAAAATAATGGGCCCAAATGTGATTTAATAATTATAAGGACCTATTGGTTATTATGTGAAGTCAGAATAAAATAAAGATAAAATAAAATATTAACTGAATGTAACCAACTCGATGGACGTTGGTTAATAAAAGGGATTAGGGTTCTGTCTCTGGCCATAAGGTCTTTTTCACGGTAAACCATCTAGAAAGCGAAGCGTGAGAAGAGAAAGAAAGGCAAAGAGATAGATTGGGAAAAGGAGATTGGAGAACGAAAAGATCAATAAAGGATTCTCATGGATCAAGGTTAGTTCTCTTACTATATTCATGTATTGATGTATGCAAATGTGAAAATCAATAATCTAAAGATCCTGTAGAGTAGTTTTCTATAACGAATTAAGAACGTAGGAAAATTACATAATGTCTTACAAAAACTACTCTATAACAAATCACAAAAGGCTGGTGGAAACAGATAGCACTGGCATGACAAGAAATATGCCTAATTTCATTTTTGCAATGACAACAATGCGATGTTAACTATAAATCAAAGCACTATGACTATCATTTTAATGCCAACACAAGCTACAGAACCGTCCAATCTTAGCTATTCAAGGCAACACAGGTGAAGTGAAATTTAGGCTTGTCTTTCATGTTTCATTTCCTTCCCTTCTTTCTGGTTAAATTACAGTCCATTGTTCCTATTTGATTTCACTCAATATAAAGAGGCAAGCAAACATAGTTTTAAAATGAAAATGAATCATAACCGTTGTTTTGCATGGACTTCAATGCGTAAAGTTCCAAAAAAAAAGCTAATATATTAAAGATTCTGTTGGCATCATCAATGACTGGAATTATAGAATGGGATGTTAAAGATACCAAACTTACCATTAACGACAAGGTAAAAGACATGAAAAAAGATATGATAGGGTGAAAGAGATTCTGAGTTTTAAAAAATAATTTCATATTCATTGTTCCAAGAAACAAAAGCTATAAATACAGAAAAACATGCATCGCAAAAGCTTATATAAATAATACGAAAACATGCATCAGCCGGGAGTCGAACCCGGGTCTATTGCTTGGAAGGCAATTATCCTAACCGTTGGACTACTGATGCTGGCCATGCAAAGAAAAATTAAGCGTATTTATAAAACCTTTTATTATTTTTCATTATATTTATAAAACAGTATATTTCATTATACAATAAATAAAATACTTATATTTTAAAGTCTTGTTTCCATATGAGATTTGAAATATTAATCGGACACTTAATTTAAAATAACTGGGATAAAAGTTGATTAATTTCACTCTAAATATATTAATATATTAGTTTTGTCAATATGTATGGACAAACAGCAGTAGAATACATGAGATATAAAAATTAAATTATGAACTATATTTTAAAATTAATAAATTTACTGCAAACACAATATCACATTATATAAATATTTTTAAATTTTAAAAAATTATTCAAATAAATTGTTAAAAAAAATTTGAAGAGAATATTAAAATCAAATCAAATTAGAACGATCCGAAACACAATATACATTTCTCCTAAGAATTTGTTTTTGGATGTGTTGGATTATATCAAGATAATCCTTCTCTTGTAAAATTTTAAGATTAAGTTAAATAAAGGATAAAAAAAATAGTAAATTGCGATTAATAAGCTACATAAAACAAATATGCACATTATAATATTTCTACTGACTATAGTTATTAAATATTATTTAAATATGAAATAATATCTTTTAGTTATATCTTCTTTTATTATAAATAAATTATTTTATTATAAATAAATTATTTTATATATAATTTATATAAAGAAGATTAATCTCAAATTTTATTTTCTCTATATTCAACCCAAATAAAACATTTGGAGTCAAACAAAAAAAATTTAATAAAACAAAATTGTTAGTGACTACTAATTCTAACTTTTTATCATAGTGTGGTAATTGTAGAGGATAAAATGAATACTTCAATATTTAAATGAAACGCTAAATAATCAAAATGAAAATTAAATCTATTTTTTTAATTATCTTTATTCTTCTTGGAAGAAAAAAATTAATATATATGTATATATATTTAATTTGATTTTCCTATTTTTCTCTTTTCGTCTTCTTTTGTCTGTACCATGAGTTCATTTTATCAAACACTATTCATAAATTATGCAGACATTTTATATTTAAAAAATTAGAAGAGGCCGATAAATACTTATTTCGAAGACAGTCTCAAATAAGTATTAAAATGTAGTTATTTTTTAATATTGAGTACGGAATCGTAAAAAATTATAGTTTGATGATTTAAAAATTTATATAATTGAATTTAATAAAATAATATTTTTATATATAATAAAGTTATTATTAATAATAATTTTAAAGGAAATAAAATAATTTATTAATTATAATAAAAATTATAACTATAAAATATATTAAAAATTAAAGTATAGATAATTAAAATAAAATAAAATAATCATTATTTAAAGATAATATGATTAATACAAAATAAATAAATAACTAACTAAAAAATATTATATTTTTATTAAAAATACAATTCATCTTTAATTTTTTTATCAAAATTAATTATACTAAAAAACTCAGACCATTTCTCTAATTTTATACTGATTTTTCCTCTTTAACTTATTTTAAAATAACAAGTCAATTCCCGATTGAACTAAGTTGAAGATTTGTAAAACTTTTATTTTACATAAAAATATTAAATATAAGATTAAAAATCATGTATTTTTTTAACTACCTACAATTTTTAGTAAAATTACCAAAACACCCTTATTACTTTTTGTCGGCTTAAATCCAATTTATAGCTAGAAATTTTGCATTTAAATGTTTACTTTTAAATTATAATCCATAAAAATTATTTAAAGAATTTGCGAAATTATTTGAAGTACTAATAATTACACTAAAGTAAAAAAATTATAGCGTTTAAGCATTAATTCAAGTAAAAAATTTTAATCCGGAACATCAACCTTCCTTTGTATTATAAATGAGTTCAAAATAAAATAAACATTATAAATAATTAAATACAATTTTCTTTTCGAAATATTCTTAATAAATGTAGAGATATTGTAGAAGTTAAGCTATGAGAAGTAATTTAAGTGAAATCTGATGTGGCAGATGTTAATTATATTTTTAACTCAAGAATATTTATGAAAAAATTGTCTAAATAAACCAGGGTGGGTGTATAGCTCTCTTTCATTGACTACAGAAAAATACTTCAAAGCCTGATTTTCAAAAACATGAATTTATGACTAAGATAGGAGGGACTATGATTTCTAAAAGTACATGTCAAACTACTATACAAGCAATTAGACAAGAAATTTCAATGTAACAAACCAATAAAAACCTACTAACGTTCATCTTCAAATTCAATGTTATCATCGTTATCTCCATCAGAACTAAAGGCGTTGTCCATGAAATTGACTTGCGACTCTCGAAATTTATTGATAGCATCTCTAGCTTCAGAAACCAATGCAACTTTTGCAGCTTTAACTGCATCATTTTTCTTAGTGCTTCTTCCTTCACCAATTATCTTCGTAGAGGCTGCTCTTCTCCTAGATTCCCTACAGCGCAATTGATTGACATATTTCTCATGCAATACCCTGTTCTTTACTTTCTTTAGTACAGGAGGACTAACAAGATCTGTAATGTGCGAGCCACTAAATCTTGAAAGTGGCTTCTTACCACTTGAAGATGATGTTTCGGTACAACTTTGCAGGCACCCTTTGTTTTCCTTTAGCTGTTTTGGAGTAGAAAGAGCTTCACTAGGCTGTGAAGCATTAGTGGAGAAATCTATGTTCGGTTCAAGAACAGAAAATATGTCCCCTTCACGGTCTAGATCACCTTCAAGATGCCGTTGTAACAGCTTTTCAACTGACTTCTGGGTATTAATGTTCTTTGGTTTTAGAACATTTAATCTTCGAACTGTTGTATCAATAGGGTTGAGAAGTTTACTTTCAGATAAAGAAAAATCGTGAATGGGTGATGACTTCAATGTCTTTGCCCTTGATCGAGGCTGTGGTTGAAGTGGAGTCACATGGTCAAAGTGAATTCTATCAAAGCATTCCTGTTGAGACTTTCCAGGCACCTACAACAGATTTTGAATGGCCACGATTCAACCAATGCAAGAATAAAACATATCTAAAAGCTAGCTGCATCCGCACGTATCTGACATGCAATTGACTACCAACAGACTATAAAACTATACACACAAAAATAAAATTATCTAAAATTTCAATAACAATTCCTCCATGTCTTGATATATAAATGAAATGAGATGGAATGCAATAAAGTTATCATGCGATGTTCTCTACATTTTTAGGATGAAATGGAAACCATCTCATATCATATCCCCATTTTGAAGGGGAAGCAATAGGTTACAATTTCATTATCTCCTATTTGACAGGATTCAAAAGGATGAAACCTATGTTAGAAATCTCATATAAACTAGAAATTTAACCAAATTATAGTATATAAATGAGGTAGAAATCTCGTCTTATAAGTTAATTTTATAGGAATGAGTTAAATTCACATCTACTCTCTAATATTGTATCCTCTCAATATAAGAGGTTGGAGATCTTATGTTATGACCAAATTATAACATACAGTTAAAGTACAAACCTCACCTTATCTACTAGCATTGAGTTAGGCCCATATCAACTTTCTAATAGCTTATCCATTCCATTCTACATCTCTTCATTCAAACACAAACAACTGCCTCTACTAGATAAACACTTATCCACTGCAATTCTTTGCTAACAAATAACATGCAAGTCTCAGCGGACACTTGAAGCACCAAATCTGTTTTCTAACATTTAAGCAGCCAACAAAAACAGGTAGAAAAAAGACAATCATCAACCAAGGTTTCAGAGTATAGCAAACTGCTTCATTTTCTGAATCTATTATCCCCATTCATATTAAACTCTTCAAACTGTAAACCAACCTGATAACTGTCAGCTTTCAAGAGTTACACAAGCCAATTCCAAACATGCAAATTCAGTTAAATTTCAACAGCATGAACCACAAACTTTGTTCCATGTTGAAGTCAAACCAAAAGTCAATATTTACAACTGCATACAGAGAGAGAAGGATGCATACCAGTTTGGAAACGTTCTTCCAGAAATGGGGGCTAGGCTTTGCCATGAGATACGCTCTCTGAAGAGCTAAATCTTGTTCCTTCGTCCACCCTTCCCTAACTTCATCGCCTTTGCGCTTTCTCTTATCTCCATCTTCAATCTTCTTTCTTTCTCCATCAAAACCCTTATCACAAACAACACGATTTTCTTTTGTTTTAACTTCAACGATCTCTCCATTTCCATCTTCAATCTTCTCCTTTCTCTCTTTCTTTCTTCCTCCACCGAACCCCTCATCTGAAACGACACAATTTTCCTTCGTTTCAGCGTCACCACCCTTCACACTCGTGTTCTTCACTTTCTTACCGCTTGACTCGTTGTTGAACCTGGGAGATCGTCTAAGAGATGAAAACCTAACGTCCCCATTGTTCAGCCGCGAAGACCTTCTCGGCCCCACCGTAAACTCATTGTATTCCTTTTTGGAAACGGTGTGTTTGGCAGATTTGGGGTTGGGAGTGGTGTTGTTTTGTTGGGGGAGGAACCTGGGTGACCTTCGCGGGGTGACAAATTGCCTGTGTACGGAGGAGTTCCTCTCTGGCATTTTCACGAACACTTGAAGGGGTCGCTTCTACAGTGACCAAGAATCAGAATTCAAACTCGAATTGAATTGAATGGCTCATGAACGCATAACCAACATCCATCCTCACGGGCTACTTACCCAACATGTTTAAGTACGTTGGCCCAAATCAATACCCAAACCCAAATTTTCACATAATTTTTCATAAAGGCATTTATAATCGGATATCGATTATTATGATCGATTATTATCCAGTTATAGTCGATCACTTTGACATATATGACTTTAGATAGCGGTTATTTTGCCAACCGCTATCTAAACAACATTTATTATAGCGATATTATAAACATACGTTAGACAGCGGTTAAAGTCTAACCGGTATCTCATATATTTAAAAGCGGTTCCTATTAACCGCTATGTAAGGTTACTCAAGCGAAAAACACATCGCTTGAGCGAGAACACCTGGAAAAATGGGGGATTCTCGGGTTCTATCTCGCTCAAGCGACGTCGTAAACGCTTGAGCGACAAGTGATTCTAATATGTGGTGAACCAAGTTATATTATTTGGCTAACTGCGTTTGACGTTTCATCATTCGGTCAACACTCGCTCAAGCTACAATTGCATCGCTTGAGCGACGGAGCCTTCAAACAAGGGGGACTCTCGGGTTCTGTATCGCTCAACCGACGGAAACTTTCGCTTGAGCGAGAAGTGATTGAAATATGTGGTGACCCAAGTTGCATTATGTGGCTAACTGCGTTGGACGTTTAGCTTGGTCAATTCGAGCTCAAGCGAGAAAACGATCGCTTGAGCGAGGATACCTGCAACTATTTGCAGTGCTGAGTCACCCACCCAAGTCAGGATTCCCATGTCTTTCTGATGCACACAAGTAAAGAATCCAATGCTGAGTTACCCACCTAAGTTAGGATTCCAATCTTGGATTCCCTGCATTGGGTTAGACAAAAGCAGAAGAATCCAAACATATTTAAAGAGATGTTGACCCACCCACTTTGCTTGGGTTTTGTGTGCGTCAGAAACCATGTGAGGGAGCATTGGATTCAAACCAATGGACTTCATTATAAATAGACCACTTTCATTCTTTGAAGTTCTCACATTGCACACTCCTAAATCTCTGAAGCTATTTGCATTATTTCTTCTTCTTACCTTTAGTCTTCTTTGTGTTCCACACTCCTAAAATGGGTGTAGTGTCTACTATTGTCCACTATGATGGTTTCATGAACCCATGTCCCATGGAGGGAGTTACCTTCAATACTGGGACTGCAAAACATGTTCCAGCTGTAGAGAAACCAGTGCCCAAATTCCAGGCACCAAACCTTTCACCAAGAACCAAATTCCAGTTCTTGATAACCTCCACAACCAACTTCCAGCTGCAGAGAAACTTGTGGCCAAATTCCAGGCACAACACAATACAAAAGAATGAAAAAGAATTGACAAAGAAGAAACTAGAAAGCTCAAACCAGTTTATCCAAATCTGCAGAGAGTTTCTTCTTCAAAAGAATGCAAGTTGCCTCAAGAAAGATTTTCAAAAGAACTTCTAAAAATTGTTGCGAATCTTTCTTGAAAAAGAGTGCTAAAGTTTGCTTGAATGATTGCTTCAGGATGTGTAAAAACTGATATTCAATGTATGTTTAAAAAATTCAAGTCAAACTGTTTTTATAGAGTATTTTCAAAACTGCTGCATTAATTAATCTGTTAAAAGTTTGTTTTAATCTGTTGAAATAGCCGTTTCAATCTGTTAAAAGTCTTTTCAATCCATTAATATGTTCTTGATTCTTTAACAGATTGGTTTTAGCTGATACGCCAACGTTTATATCAGCTAAAACATTTTACAAAACTTTTCTAAGTTTGATTCAATCGATTGTTTCGTGTTTTAATCGATTGATATACTGCAAAACCTTATAAAACTTTTCAAGTTGTTTTAACTGATAAAAAGAAGTTTTAATCGATTAAATCTCTGTACAAAACTTTTCCAAGTTGTTTTAATCGGTTGAAACGCGTTTTAATCGATTTAAACTCTGTACAAAAATTTTCCAAGTTGTTTTAATCGATTGAAATACGTTTTAATCGACTGAAACAGATCTGATCGGTCATAACTTAATTCTGATCGATTATATCCAGATCTGATCGGTCATAACTTCATTCTGATCGATCATTCTGACCCTTTAAGTGATTTTAATCGATTGAAACGTGTTTTAATCGATTGAAATATGTTCTGATCGCTCATATTTCATATTTGATCGGTCATAATGGGTTCTAAAGGGTTTTAATCGATTAAAAGCAATTTGTATCGATTAAAATATTGTAAAAACACTTCTTTGAACATTCTAAGTGATTTTAATCGGTTCTTTCAAAACTATATCAGTTAAAAACATTATTAAGAAAGCTTTTGTCAAAATGCTTTGTTTTTAATTGTTTAAAACGATTTTAGAGGCATTTTGCAAAATCATTTAAGTGAAGAAACTTCATGCAGCAGAAAAGATAAAATGATTTTACCTAAGCATTCTGTAGACACACTAATCCTCTAACTCTTTTATCTAAGTGACTTGTTGACCGCTGCAAAGTTGACTTTGACTTCATCTTTGACTTCATAAAATCAATGAGATCTTTGCCAATCTATTTCAAAAAGATCTTCATCACTTTCAGTCTCCCCCTATTTGATGAAGACAAACACCATTTTGAAAAAAAAACTCTGCAAGAGAAGTCACTTGATAATACAGATTAGTGAGAAATTAGAAAATGTATTAATGTCCTATTTCTCCCCCTAAAACTTATTTCTCCCCCTAAAATGATGCTTCCTTAATGTAAGAGTTATTTCTCTAAATTGATCCTAAAGTAAAGCAACTATTTCTCCCCCTTTTGACTTCATCAAAAATAGGGAACAGAAGAGAAATAATGAAATGTAAAGGTTTTTAACAGTTTGAGTTTTTGAAAATAAAAAGAAATCAATACTTTACTCATGTAAAGATCAATTAAAGTTGATTCAAACTTATCTTCATTAACACGTGTAAAGATAAGGGAATCACGCTTTAGTAGCATGTTACAGGAACAGCCATTAACTAAAGCCTTTAATCTTTCTTTCCAGAATAAAAATCGATTAAAAATAGAACAGAATCGATTAAAATGTTCTTGGTAATGATTTTAATCGATTGAAAGAATGATTTAATCGATTAAAACATTTGAGAATTTGAAAACATGAAACTTTAGCGCAATTAATCGATTATTTCGACTTTTAATCGATTAAAACATTAATGAAAAATGTTATATAAATTCATTTAATCGATTTAAAAGATGTTTTTATTGATTAAAACATTCAGATTTGAAAACTCTGACATATCTGATGCGAATTTCTTATATCTAATTTAGTGGATATGTTGTGAACTGATTATCTAGAAAGGTGTTTAGCAACCATATCAACTATATTGATTATCTTTTCACTAATAGATCCAACAATATCAGAATTACAATTCTCAGGGATCTATGATCTAATTTTATCTATGTTAGTTTCATCCAAATTAAAACCTATATTATATCAGTCAAAGTTAACGCAAATGTGCCTGGTATATAACCAGTAATATTACAGACCCAGAAAAATAAGCAAAAAAAACAATGAGATATAAGAGGTAAGGTAAGAAGGGACCCTTTTTATCCATACTTCCCTGATTATTTGTGTCTGGTATCAAAATTCATGACCCAGTCATTTGATCCTTACCAACTTTAAAAGGCCAAAGGCTTCACTTTTTGCTGAAACCATTTTGCTTTATCAATCATTGAGACACCAACAGCTGTTTTTCCTATTATGAACCCTGCAGTTATCACCATCCAAGCAAATAACTACATTCTCAATGAAGTATGAAGGAAAATGATAGCGTGTTATTCTTCCCTTCAAATGGATCAGTCATCATCATCTCTGAGGAATGAATTTTCTTCAACTTTGTTGTTTCCAGTGGTATCATGTACTGGAACACATGCATACAAAATAGAACTAGTGATGACAGCAATCCAGGACTCCCCGGTCAATAACCATATCCTTACATATTTCATACATCACTATTATCATGGGCATCAAAAAGCATCGAATTCGTCACGAAATTTGCCTTCATTGATGGAAGACAGTTATGTTGGTTCCAAACATCTGAAATTCACTGAAAGATCCTCTTGTTGGGTTGTTGTTAAGGAAGCCAGATCATCAGTATAAACTTGATCCCTATACTGACCATAAAACACACATTCCCTGTGGCACTTTTAGCTTTTCATTCAATTCTTGAATTGCTGACACAGATTGGTTTCCTTACAGTGACACCACGTGATTTTGATGATCAAAACGAATTATCAAAGTTGCACAATTCCAATGATTTTCACTAAGAGTCTTGAACTAATGCATGCCCAAAATTATTTCAAATATATTGCTAGGTAATCTCCAGAAATCTAATGTAAACGTGTGTCCAAGTTATTTGATCATACTTCTTAGTAATCAACAACTTATTATCAGAAGTAAATATTAATTACCACGCAGCATTTCATGTAAAGTTTTTAAGAGAAATGTAGACATCTACAGCTTGAATCATGTCTATGTTGTTGTCAAAATAAAAGACTTTTCCATTCATGGATAGCAGTAATAACTTTCCCACATTATGTCCCTAGTCGAGTTTCCAATTCAAAAATTTGTTCAGCCTTAGCTTTCCAATTAAAAATTTGTGCCATTGAAAGAAAATTCGGTATTATTCATGATTGTCTTGCCGTTATTTAAGGCTGAAAGAAACTAAGTTCTCTAATGAATATTACAGTGAAACCATGGATTTCTGTGTTGCTTCTGATCACGTTTGCAGCAGAGAATTGAGAGAAGATTTTGAAAATATGAAAACAGAAGAAAGATGATAAGTTGAGAAATGATAAGTTCAGAACCTGGTTTGATGATTCAGGACAGTGGGTACTGCAGCTATTGGGAATATGTTTGACTTGGTCAAAGAAATTTTAAACATATTATGCAGATTCTGATTATCATAAAA